AGTAATCTATCCCGATATAATGATCCACCTCCGACCTCACGGGGATGTTCTCCAACAGGGAGTTCACATGGACGAGAGCGGCGTGATCCAGAGACGGGCAGATCTGGAAAACGGAGAGTTTTAGCTTTGTTTACAGAACCAAAACACGAAGGAGAAGCTCAATACTTCAACAACACTGTAAAGATAAGATCATCAGTAACATTCCCATTCCTTCTGCTCAGTCACCGGGAACATTATCATGACTTTGACTTATCTATTTACAACATTTATACGTAATTCCACTCTGTTCAGTTTAATCAAAGCATTCCAAACATGGAAAAAACTACAATTTATTACATTTCTCCTCCATTTCTAGCAGCTTTTCATTCTCTCTTTGCAAAACATGAAACCAGAATAATTCGGGCAGAAGGACTCTTCCTCCTGACTCGTTTGAATTACCTGTTGGTTGAGGAAGAAACGCATGCCTGTGGTCACAAATCTGGCCAGGAAGTCGTACACCCTCCTAAAAACACAGACTTTGATTAGTCCTACGTCCTTTTCTGTTATCGGCGAGTGTTTATTGAGACAGAAAGACATAAGAATGAAGAAGCTTCTGTGTTTATCTAATCTACAGTGGGGGAAATAAGTATTTGACCCCTTGCTGATTTTGCAGGTTTGGCCACTTACAAAGAATGCTTATTTTTCCTCATCAGATGGTTATCAATTTTTATAAATTCATATGAAGTGATTTTCTGGAATTTTCTGTGGGATTCTGTCTTTCACTGTTAGAATGTACATATGATTAAAGTTATAGATCGTTGCATTCTTTGTAAGTGGGCAAACCTGCAAAATCAGCAAGGGGTCAAATACTTATTTCCCCCACTGTATGCCACCTTGATACTTCAGAGTTGAATCAGATTTACTGACAGTTACTGTTTCTACATGTTTATTGATGACGACATCAGTGTGTTTTACCCAAGTGTCCCGCTGAACTTTGCCCTCATCTTATCGATTTTGGCATTACAGGTGATGTTGTTGATCTTCAGCCGTCCTTCATCATCCCTGATCAGGTTCACGGCTGTGTTGATATTTACTCCATCAGCCGAGGCATTGATGTTTCCAGTGTCGTAACTAAAACACATTAATAATAACAACAACAACAGCTGAAACCAAACAAATGTTGACACCAAACTCAGATAAAAATCGTATGGAATTAACCCCCCCAGTGACCTGGTACTGTAAAATTCCAGTCAGAGTTGGCAAAGAGGAGGCTTCTGGACCTTGATGAAGCCCAACTTAGACTGAGATCTTCAACACATCCCTGAGTACTTCTGTGTTTCCAATGTCCACCACCATCTTCCCTACCGAAGATAACCCCGTGTCCTGAGTGAGTCCCTTCCTGTTCCACTCATTACGGATTTGTCTATCTATCTATCTATCTATCTATCTATCTATCTATCTATCTATCTATCTATCTATC